TGTTATGCATTTTGAAAATTTTGATATCAATTGTTAGAGAGATATCATTTTCATTTAAACCACATGCATAAACATTCAAATTTAGGTCAAAAATTTAAAATTTGTAAAATCAAAGTATTTGAAAATTTGATATCAATTGTTAGAGAGATATCATTTGCATTAAAACCAATTTTGACCAAAATTTTATTATGATGAACTAAAAATTCTTAAAAATTAATATAACTTTAAAATGTTCATCATAATCATCTTTTCAACATACATGAGATTAAAACGATGATGCATAATCATTTAAAACAAAAACTCATGCATGCTTAAAATCAAATGAGCAACCAAATAACCAAATTTAAAAACATTAAGCTTAGAGGTTACTCATTCCTTTTTCATGTGTGGCTAGAGCATCTTTAGTATCATCATTTTCATCACCATTGCTCACACACACCTACAAGAGATATTTAAGTAGCTTTTGGTATCCAAATTGCTTTGGATCCTTGAACGTTAGTTTCAATGCCCCTTGTTCCTTTCGGAACCCATACTTGTCTAATTTTAAAACGTTTTCCTTTCTTCAAAGGACAAGTATGTTCCTTATGACCATGATAATGACAATATAAGCATATTGTCATTATTGAACTAAATGAATTATTTAAAATGATTTCTTTTTGTTTTGTTAAGCATTCAAGCTTAACTTTTAAATCAAAATTTTCTTTTTCAAAACTTACAATTTTTATTTTTGAAAGCTCTAAATCCTTTTTCAAAATTTCATTTTGGCTTTCAAAATCTATTTTTGTTTTCAAAAGAAAATCGTTTTCGATTTTAAATTTTGAAATCATTTTCTTATATTTGGAGTTCATGGTCTCAAACTCCGAATATAACCTATTAAAAGTATATTGTAACTCATCAAACGTATATGAACTAAATTCATTTGAGTTAGAAGATACCTCAGGCTTTTCACGAGCCATTAAAGACACCACCTTTGTTGGTTCTTCTTTCTTGTTTCCATGGATTTCCTCGAGATTATTCCAAAGCTCCTTAGTATTCGAACAAGAAGAAACTCCTTCATAGATATCTATACCAAATGCACAAAACAACATGTGCATGGCCTTGGCATTTTGTTGAGCTTTCTTCTGTTCTTGGTCACTCCACTTCTTCTCATTCTTCTTTGGAGAAGAGTATCCGCTCTCGATCATCTCCCATGCATCAAGATCATTGGCTTGGATAAATAACTTCATTAATTTCTTCCAATGACTATAGTTAACTCCATTGAAGTATGGAGGCTTGTCGGTTAGTAGGGAGTCTTTCTCGGTTGTGTCGGGAATTGGTAGAGCTTCTTCGAGGATCGTCTCAAGGTGGTTAAACCTTCTTAACGAGTTAGGCTATGATGCCAATTGTTGGGATTTTCGGAAGCTCGAATCGACAACCGGAACGGTTTGCAAAGATGGGTCGGAATGGTTTTTTATTTAGGGAGTAAGGAGATTGAAAGATAGAGAATTACACAACGATTTATAGTGGTTCGACTTTCTCAACCAAAGTCTACGTCCACTACCTTAGCTCCTCACCAAGGATTTTCCAACAAATTCACTAATTTGTTCTTTCTTTTGAGGATAAAGAGATAACCTTACGACTCCCTAGTTTTTCCGGGCTAAACTAGAACCTTTCCCTAGCTTTTACACGAGCTAAGCTAGAACCTTTCCCCTTTACAAAAGGATAAAATAAGTAAACAATAAAACCTCTCTAAGGTAGGTGTTTACAATATTGAGCTCACAAGAACAAAATATTTACAAGAGAAAGATGAAATAAGAATGAAAAACTCTTCTCTTGTGTTTGATTGCTTGGATAGTTGTTCTCTTTATTCTTCAAGTGTCTTTAGCTTGTATGTATAGCTTGGAATCTGTTTGATGTTGTATATAGCCGTTGGGGATGTTTTGGAGCCGTTTGGGGATGATTTTTCTACTCAAAAAGGCTGCCCATAACATGGTGCATCGGTGCACTATCAAGGTGCATCGATACCCCTTCATTAAATTCAAATAAACTAGACATTACTAGTCGTTGCAGCCTTCGTGCATGGATGCACAGTAGGATGCATCGATGCACAGCCTTGATGCATCGATGCACTAATTGCATTCAGTGTTTGAGTGCATGGATGCATTGCATGGTGCATCGATTAGTGCAGGTGCATGGATGCACTTTGACACCCTTTAGCATTTTGGCTCAAATCCGAATTTAATGGACTTTGAATTATTTTTGAAACCTTTTAAAACTTTGAATAAATTCAATTAAGTCCAAAACATTTTGTAAATTCAATTCAAGTTCAAAAACCATTTTGCCTTAAATTGTTATATCAAAACATAGTTCAACATAAGAACAATAAAAATAAAAAAAAAGTTAGTATGTTAATATGAACAAATAAAATAAAAGTAGGTAGTTATTTTTAACCGTTTAACCTGGACCATACAAAATGTGTATCGTCCTCCAGGGCGAGTCACCGCAAGGTCGTTGAATATTCGAATGTTAGAAAATTAGCGGGTTAGTTTGTGCAATAAAATAAAATGTTAGTAAGTTAGTAAGAACAATAAAAATAAAAAGTTAGAATGTTAGTATAAACAATAAAATAAAAGTTAGAATGTTAATAAGTTAGAAAAGTTAGTGGTTAGTGGGTAGCAGGTTCCAGACCATTATAATGTGGATCGTACCCCGGATCGGGTCACCACAAGGTCGAATAATACGATAAACAATAAATAAAAATAAATAAATAAATAATGGTTAGAAAGCAAGAAAATAAATGTCAGTGGTTAATATGCGATAAAATAAAGGTTACTAACTAATATGCAATTAGATAACATAGCATAATAGTGATCAAATTAAAATAAAGCAACACAAGGGGTTAAAATAAGAATAAATAAAATCAAAGTGGATCAGGACCACAATGTAAAAGTAAGGCAGAAGTGGATGGACTTAAGGGTGGTTAAACCCTAAAGTAAATGACCAAAAACATAAAATAACTCTAAAACAGGAGGGATTTGCGTGGTTAACTCAAAAATTTTAAAAACATCTCTCCCAACACCTAAACCAGAAAACACGTGAAGCCTCTCTTTGCCAGAACACTCTCAAAGACCAACACCAACGCCGACCACCGCTCAATCGTCGTTTAACCACCGTATTTTCGGGTAACTCGCCTCTCCGATCGCCATGTAAAGATCTAAACCAACCCCGAGTTTTTAACCTTCTCCTATCTTCAACAGAACCTCAACCGAGAGCTACCCCAAACATACACCAACGACGTAGATTGGCGAAAACCAACCCCGACCACCACCATTGGTAGTCGGACCTTAGACCTAAGCAAACACGAAAAGAAAAGAAGCCCGAAATAGTCCCCGGACACAAACCGACCCCCTAAACCAACGAACAAAGCCTCAACCTCACCGTTTGAACCACCCTGAACCGGAGACCAACCACCGACCAAGGCCAACATCCTCCCACATTTCACATATTAATGCTAAAAAAATAGAAAGAAAATAAGCATAAAAAGGAAAAGAAAAAAACGTGAAGGAGAAAGTTCCTTTTGTTTCTGTTTGCTCTTTCTAAACTTCAAGGGGGTTTGTTTTTTTTTCCTGTTATGGCTTTTAAAGCCCCACATATTACAAATGGGTAAATTATTAGTTTACTCCCTATATTTTGTTCTTTCTTTTATTTTAGGACAAAATTAGGGTATTACAATAGGAACATATAACATCTTCTCCTCAAGATGGACAATAAGATAGAATCAGATTAAATTCTACTTTAATAGTAAAGTGGATGTCTGATGTAAGTGGATAAGACTATGTTATCTAGTTTTATTATTTTAATGTTTGAAGTTAATGATTTTGTTTTCAGGGCTCAAGTCAGGCAATTACAAATATGACGTTGCAAACGATCATGTGATTTATCAAGTACTTTAAGGGGGGTGTTTGGTTCATGGATTTTTGGATTCCTGGCAGTAATATTTTTTCCAGGTTAAAGATATCATGTTTGGATGGGTCACATTCCCAAGTGAGGGTAAAAGGTCAATACCAACAGTGTGTTTTGGGTCTGAATTACTGGGAATATTATTCCCACATCTCACCTAGGTATTTCTTTATTCCTGTGCTTAATGGGCTAAAATACCCTTCTCCCAGTTTGCTTGCTTCTGCGATAAAAAAAATTCAGCTTCTTCGATTTGGCGAGAGAAACTCACAGAGTATAATTCCTCTTCCGATTTCAAAGACACATTCTTCGATTTGGCGAGAGAAGCATTATTCTTCTTTGATTTCCCTTTTCTATAAAAAAACAGAGGAAATAAGTGACTTTTTGAGGTTTGGGTCTTTTTTTTCTCATGTTGAATTTCAATAAAGTTTGAAATTTCTTATCCGCTAGTTTAATTCCAGCATGCAATTAGTTCCAAATCTGTATTTCGTTGTTAATTAAGCAAAATAAACTGTTTTTCTGCCTCTTACTTTTGAGAATTTTTATATGAATTTGTTGGATGTGTGGTTTTTTGTTAATTTTCTTTTTAATTGTTAGTCGTAATTGTGCTTGGGATTTGAATGAATTCAAAACTTATTAAGTTGCTATTTGAAGTGGTTTACAATCTTGTTATGTTATGTATAATCCAAGAAGTCTCGGTATTACGGGTGTGAAGAACATAGGCTTTTCAGTTTGTTTTATCTGAATGAACAAATAACTTAGTGCTCTTATCGAAGTTAGATTTGTAAAGCTTACCATTGATTATCGAAGGAGAGTTTAGTTAATTCATGAGAGTTTAATTATAAACTGACACTAACCTAACAGAGAAATACAATTATAAACTGTAAAATTCCGGTAGCTCACTATATGCCTCATTCAACCGAATAGGGCCTAACCTAACAGAGAAATACAATTATAGACTATTTTCCTCTATTCTTTTTGTTTATGTTTCTTGACTAACTTTGCTTTGGATGTTTAGTTACTAAGTTATGCTACACTAATGAGTACTCGTGCGTCTTCTATAGGTCGCAAATATCATTTGCTCGAGCATTCAGCCTCTTCAGAATCGAGCTGTGCTGGTCTGTCTCCGAGTGAATTTGTCTCTTTTATGTATTCATTTTGTTTTTAATGGGGTCATTGAAATATATAAGGATTGTGTTTGGTTTGCTGCTTTTACCTTTACAGAATTGCATTGAGGAAAAAGTAGGTCCGGATGAGAAATTTCCTTGGGCAAAATTTCGTATAGAGAAAGGCTTTGGAGGTAAGTAATGAGTAAAGGCGTCATCCGAATTACTATCCTACTAAGATTAAGTGTCGTGTGTGTTTCCTCTGATGGGTTTAGGCATTTAATTTGATTAATGCTTCTTTATTGCAGCGCTTGAGAAGCTGCTAAAAGATCATGCTGGAAGATATGCGACCGGAGATGAAGTTTCCATGGTTTGTTTCGTTCTCTAATGTTTATCTATGCAATTTCATGATCAAAGCACATGGTAAATCATGCACAAAGGAGCATATGTTTTAGAGTTTTGGAAGGCTTATATATTTTTTGGGGGATGCGGATGAGTGTATTCCTGATATCACTTGGAATGAATGTGGTTTGATTGATAGTTTTGGTGAAAACTGCTGTAGTTTCCTGCAGTAATATGTGTTGTGGAAAATGTAAATCAGGCATCACCAAGATGCAGCTCTGCCCCTGAACTATATGCGCCTTTGGAATTCTAGATGCAAATGAGTTAGCCATTGGTCTAAATTCTGTTCGACGTTAGTTAATATCACCTTCAGTTACGTGTTACGATGCCTGAAATGTACGAAATTATATAATTAAGTTAGAATACTCTAAATATATACATGTATGTATACATAAATATGGCCTGCTGAATTTCTTTGCAGGCAGATGCGTTTCTAGCACCGCAGATTGATGCTGGGATAAAGCGATTCAATGTTGACATGGTAATCCACTCTCATTCATGAACTACTCGGTTGAATGAGGCATATAGTGAGCTACCGGAATTTCAAAAGTCCCTATTCGGTTTAATTATAAACTGACACTAACCTAACAAGAAATACAATTAGAGTGAGTTGAATTAGGTTAAATTCCCTAATTTTAACTTGGAGAATTTTTTGTGTATATAATATAGCCAACATATATGATTAAGTTTAGAATGTCATGGCTATTATCTTTTGTAAGTCTAAATATTATTCAAACTTTTGATGATTAATGTTATACTTCTTTTAGTTCTGTGAGCTAAACAAAGAATGTAAGCTTAAAAAATTGTATTCGGTATGGATGAGTTTATATCTACTATTTGGTATCTTGGCTAGTCTTGTCAAAATTATCGTGGCTAATTTCTGTTGCAGCAGTTGTTTGTAGTATATGGCTTGGAAGTAATGTGCTAGTTTTCGAAAAGAAATCTCATGACCGATAGCTTAGAATAATTTGGACATGGTGTTGAAAACACTTTGATATTTTCATATACCAAACAAATTTATTAATTAATTTTTATAAATTTTAAGATTATATTCGATTCAATTATTCGAATATATATATTTATTACTTAAAGTTTCAAACGTCAATTTTTACTCTTTACTCAAATGAAAAATTGAGATATATACTATAAATATTTTTGAAATAATCTTTACTAAAGGTTTCGAACTTTAATTGAGACAGAAAATCAAGTTTAACTAAGTAGTACTAGAAAATATGATTTAGATAATATAGATATTATATGATTTTAGAAATTAAGGAGTAAAAATATGCTTATTTTTTAATACTGATAATAATATATTTTATAATTAATAAATTAAAAATATTCTCTAAAGTCATCTTTGTACATTTTGGTAGGAGTAAAATGGTTAATGGTAGGAGTAAAATGGTTCATCTATTACAATGTTCATATGCTTATTTAATTAAATGTTGATGTAAAATTTTAATATATGTTTAGATAAATTATGTAAAATTTAATATTAATTAAAATTAAAATAATACTTTATATATTTAAATAATAAAGTCATATATAATCGATGAATTTTATATAAATAATTTTCATTTAAATATTTAAAATTCAACTTGTTAAAAAAATATAGAACAATGACAATTTGGTAAAATATACATTTCAGTAATCTTTTATTCCTTCAACTAAATATTGTAATCTTACATTCCTTCCAAATAAATCAAACACAGTAATGTAACATTCCCAATAATGTGTTAGGTAATGTTACATTTAGGTAATCTTATTCCCGGAAGTAATCTTACATTCCGTGAACCAAACGCACCCTAATGGCACATGAACCGTGACGGAACATAGCTTCGTTCAGATTTTCATTGTTCTACGAGAAAAATAGTCTCGAACAACAATATTGATTGCAGCTACTGAATTTTCTTGGAGATTTCTGTGAGTAGAGTCGCAATGTTGTAGAGGTAATCCAAGTAGATTCCACCTTGGTTCACTGCAATGGCATAACGAACCAGACGAGATGTTCAATCGAACTTCGCATAAGATCTTCTTCCAGAGATCAATTTCGGCTTCAAATGTGTTTGAAAATAACAGATTTCTCATATCAGCCTAGCAAAACAAGTCTGCATTACTTTTCAAGCAATTGATACCATATTTTTTAAGCCCTAAAACCAGCATCTCTTTCATTTTTTTAGCCTCTTTTGATTCTCCTTCACGTATTTTCTCGTGAATTTCTTGTTCTCTATCATCAAATACACCTTCGGGATGCTTCACAAAGACAAATTGTGCCTGGAAAAGCTTATTGGAGCCAGTGTTGAGGAGGCATACTTTGTTGTTAATGAAGGATTTGAGATGAAACCTTCGGACGCTAGCAGTGGTCTTTTTCGATTAGACTCTGTTTTTCGAAGGTAAGTGCTCGATATCTCGTATCTGCTCGAGTGTGCTTTGCTTAAGAGTTATTTAGACTCACCATTGGATTCACTTGGTGATGTTCGAACTGTTCCATCTTTATAGAATATGAGTTATCTTTTCTTCTTTCGAGTTCAACATTTGTGTCGAATACATTAGGAACTAATCTTACAACTATTCTTGTTGTTACGGAATACGTCTATTGAATAGAGAAAAATCACAACTGATAATTTGAGAAAATAAAAATGAAGATAAAGAAGACACAAGAAAACCCCTAAATAATATAGGGTAAAAACCACGGGCAACGGTAGGAGAATTTCACTATAAGAAAATAGGAATTACAACTTCTCTCGATCTGCCAAGGAGAAAACAATGGCAATTCTCTCTTGATAAAAATGAGAAAACAACTCTAAAGAAACTCTCTAAATTCTCTAGTATTGGGAGAAAGCTAGAATGATTTGGGATGGAATTGAAGCTAAATGGGTTAGGGTATTTATAGTTGAAGCTTAAGGACTAATATTGTAAATACCCTAAAGTACAATGACTAAATTACAATTATACCATACAATAAATCAACAAAATATTCCCCCTTTTTTACTAAAATTTTTGGTGGATTTTTTTTTCCACCTTTCAGTGGATAGTCAACTTTCAACAATCTCTCACTTGAAGATTTGATTGGAACAATCATATCTTCACACCCTTCTTTCTATCTTATACCTTCATGTTGCTTACGTCTCTGACAAGCCACAAGAGGATCGACACCACGTAAATTTATCAGCGTTGATCGCCTTCGTCATGAAATCTGCTATGTTGTCTTTAATATTGATCTTCTGCATATCTATCGTCCCTTCTTCCACCTTTTCACGAATGAAATTGTACTGAACTCGTATGTGCTTTGTCCTTGAATGAAATTTTGGATTTCTTGCTAGATGCAAGGTGCTTTGACTGTCACAAAACAGAGAGACATACTCTTGATTGTGTCCAAGCTCCTCCAATAGCATCTTCAACCAGATTGCTTCTTTACTGGCTTGTGTAGCTGTTACATATTCTGCCTTTGTTGTGGACGTAGCCACAACTGACTGTAGTTTTGAAACCTAGCTTACAGCTCTACCAGCAACTTTGAACACATATCTTGTAGCATATTTGCTTTTATCCAAATCCCCCTATATAGTCAGAATCAACATACTCATTGATAAGTAAATTTGATCCTCTGTAGCATAATGTAATATTTGAGGTCCCTTTGATGTATCTTAAGATCCTCTTTACTGTATTACAATGCTATTTGTCGGGATTCGCCATGTACCGACTAACCACTGTTAGGACTCATACTGGAGGATAATTTCAAGTAATTCTTTTTTGGGTCCTGCAACCAACATGTCATCCACATACAACAGAAATATAACAAAATCGTTATCACCAAACCTCTTGAAATAAGCACAAGGGTCTGCATTAAGTTTGTTGTATCCAAGTCACATAATGAAGGAATCAAATCTCTTATACCAACACATCGGCGCCTACTTTACACCGTACAGAGATTTGTTCATCCTGCAAACCAAGTTCTTCTTTTCTTTTTCTTCAAAACCTTCAGGTTGGAGCATGTAAATATCTTCTTCACGATTTCCATGAAGAAAATTTGTTTTAACATCAGTTCTCTAGATGTAATTTCAATGTAGTACACATTTCCAAAACTACTCGAACTGTTGTTAGTCGAACCACATGAGAAAATATTTCATTTAAATCAAAACCTTCTTTTTGAGCATATCCTTTAACCACAAATCTTGCACGATACCCCTTCACTTGATCGTCACTATTTCATTTGATTTTGAAGATCCATTTGTTACCAATTAGCTTCCTTCCTTGTGGTAGTGGCACAAGGTCTCATGTATTATTTTTATAAAAGGCTTCAATTTCTTATTGCATCGCCAACATCCATAGTGAAGCATCTGAGTTGTTTAATGCCTCCTCGTATGTTGATGGCTCACCGTCCTCTGTTAAAAGGCAATATGCAATATTTCCTTCTATAACATAATCTGAGTGTTAATTGGGACGTCTTCTCACACGATCTGATTGATGAGTTATTGGAGCTTCAGAACTCTATGGTTCTTGTTCATCATGTGATGGTTCTGCTTCAGAGGAATCTCCTTGTTCAAACTCCTTTTCCACATGTATCTGTGTAGTCTCTGACTTTTCAGCGCTATCATCATCTTTTTTTCTTTGTAGTTTATCTTCTACAAATATAACATCCCTACTGTTGATCACTTTGCGGGCAGTGGGATCCCACAATTGATACCCCTTTACACTATCAGCATACCCCAAGAATTTGCATTTCCTAGATTTTGGATCCAACTTTGAAATTTCTTGGGAGTTGTACATCATGTACACAATACTTCCAATTATATGGAGGTTTAAATAATCAGCTGGTTTACCAGTCCACATCTCCATTGGTGTCTTCAGCTCTATTTCCGTTGATGGAGCTCGATTCATCAAATAACAGGCGGTATTGATTGCTTCTGCCCAAAATGATTTTTCTAGTCCTGCAGCCCTCAACATTGTTCTTGTTCTTTCTAACAAGGTTCTGTTCATCCGCTCTGCCACTCCATTTTTTTGAGGAGTGTTCACCACTGTGAACTATCTTTTGATGCATTCTTTCGTACAAAAGTCATCAAATTCTTCACTTGTTTATTCTCCTCCATTATCTGTTCTGAAACACTTAATCTTATTTCCAGAATCAAGTTCCACTCGATCTTTGAAGTTTTTGAAAGTTGAAAACACATCTGACTTCTTCTTAATAGGGTACTCCCAATATCTCCTAGAGTAGTCATCAATAAATGAGACAAAGTATTTTGCTCCACCTAGGGATGTAACTGGTGTTTTCCATATATCAGAATGAACCAATTCTAGAACACTTTTGCCTCTAGAATTTGACGTGTTGAATTTCAACCGGTGCTGCTTGTTATGCAATACTCACACAAAGTAAATGATACCTTTGTTAAGCCTGGAAGTAGCTTTTTCTCTACAAGGAATTTCATTCCTTGTTCTGACAAGTGTCCAAGTTTCTGATACCATAGCATTGCAGAATCTGAACTACATGAGACAACAGAGGCTTATGCTTCTAGCAAAGTCTCTCCCTTCAGCATGAACAAGTTTGTTGCTATCTTTTCGCCTTTCATCACCACAAGCACTCCACGGAACACCTTCATGATTCCTTTCCGTGTTTCAATCTTCCTTGCATTATTATCCAATAATCCGTAGGATAATAAATTTTTCTTC